CGTTCGGATGGCTGCGCAAAAGCAAAGAATCAAGAGATATAATAATAGAAGAACCAACCTCCGCCACTTTGGAATCGAGGACTTCCCAGGGGGTCACCCATTCTAGTACTACTCTCGCCCAAGCACGCTTAACTTCAAAGTTCTGATGGGATCTGGTGCGTTAGTGTTGGTATGATCCGGAGACTTAGTTCTAAGGAAAGTCACCCTCAACACTCGAGAACCAAACGAAGGGAAACTAGGCCCAAATTAGGAAGGACCATATCGGGTCCTCGGTATCATCGGAAAAGGATCTTACAAACTTGGCACAATGGAAGGCGAACAATAGCCAAACAATTGGAATGTATCACTCCTCAAACGGTATTATTGCCAAGGTATGACTCTCACCCTTTCCATTTGTATTTGATACTAACTTATTGCAGGTGCTCAATCGAAGACGTCGAGAAACTCTTCAACACGAGGACCTTAGGTTTTAAAGCACGTGTTGCACTCTTTTTCCCTTAGATAGGTTTTTATCCCAAATAGGTTTTTTTCGGCGAGGTTTTTAGCAAGGCAACCATTATGTGCTACCTGAGAAAAATTCAACAGTATCCAAGGCTTATTTGCAGTCAACCTCGAATACTAGGGAGCATCACCCTCGGATGTTATATTTTCGAGGAAAGTACTTCATGTCAAAAGGTCTCGATAGGGAAACTTTGTAATGGGCCAAACAGTCGAATGAATCGTGTCCATATAGATTAGACGAGCCCCGATGGCAAAACATGTATGCATGTATAAATTATTTCAAGAACCGAATTGTTACCTCATTTATATTGACGAAAAAGGATATGTATAAGAGATCGACAGAGGTTTTACAAAAAAGGAAAATAAAAATAAAATCCTAACTATGCCCGGGGCTGGTTTCTCCCTCGGGGGCAGCCTTAATCATTGTAATTATCATAGAAGGAGACAAGCAATCTGGCATCAACTTCATCAAGCGCCTTAGCTTTAGGTATCTCTTTAGAGAGGTCAAAACCTCGAGCATGGATTTCCTCGGGGGTCTCCCTCCGTGATTGGCACTTCGCCAAGTCATTGCTCCGTTGCTCTCGATCGGAAGCCTCCATTAGCTGCGTTTGAGCAGCCTCGACATCGTCCAAATACACTGCTATGGACTTATAAGCCACTATCTTCATCTTCCCGACCTCCGCCTTGGCCTCAGCAAGCTCGGCTTCGAGCTCCTCGATCCTTTTGGCCTGCGCCGAACTTTTCTCTTTGATGCCCCGAAGTTGGACCTCGGCCGATGACAATTTGGCCATGGAAGCCTCTTTCTCTGCAGCAAGGCAGTCCATGTTCTCCTTCCACCGATCGCAGTCAGCCTTGATCTGATCGACTTCCCCTCGAAGTAGCTCGATCCTTTCCAACTTTTGCTACAACTGGGATATTAAAGTATTAGCCTTCACAGTTGAGTCGAGACCATACTCTTTCAAAAGGATAGTTACCTACTCATCTATCTCGACCTCTTCCTTATGAGCCTGGGCCAAGTCTGCTCGGAGGTCCATGATCTCCTCTTCTTTTTCACATATGGGCATTTGAGGGCATCTCTCTCCTCGGTAAGTTTCTTGAGATCAGCCTCACACCAGTTCAGCTCGGCTTGGGACTTGGTGAATGCTTCCCGATTAAGCACCACAACCTATGGAGAAAGGAAAGAAATCAGCAAGAAGGAAATAAAAACAAACGTAATAATGGGGAATTAAGTTTACCTGGTTCAGGAGACGATGGGCCTCTTCAAAAACTATCGTTGCATCTAGATCGGAAACATCATCGACCCCCGTAAGGAAGCCACGGAATATGTCTTCCCCATTGTGGGTCATTCCTACATTGGGGGTCTCCATAGATCGAGCCTTGCGAAATTGTCCTTCAAAAAATTTAGGGTCGGGCGATGAATCATCAATAGTGATCGCCCCAAGCAAGTCACTTGGGGAACTCTCTCCCTTTTGATGAACCCTACTACCGGACCCTTCGGGCACACTCGCCATTCGTTTATCACGGTAGGAAGTATCTTTTACCCCCGATGACTCGGAGACTTTGCTCAGAGTACCTTCTGAGATATCCTCGATCCGAGGGTGAGTCTCCCGACCATCACCGGCCCTGCCGCTATTGAAGCTTCGACGCCCCCCCTCTTTTGAGGCACCAGCTCACAACCAACATCTTCCCCACTCTTCTTAATTTCATAGCTTCTGGGCTACGTCGGCAGATAGAGCGACAGAGTCGTCGTTTGACTTATGAGCCTTACTCTTCTTGGGCTTCGGGGAATCAGGAGGCGAGGCCCTTCTCCTTTTCTTGTCCTTAGCCGGTTTGGAGCCACTTCTTCCCTAGGTGTGGCCGACCTCATTTCAGCAACATCCCTGAGGCCTGCATAAAAAGAAGTCGAGTGTAAGTAAAAAGAAATATTTCAGAAAGGGGCGCCAAAAGCATACAGGATAAGCTTACCATAATTCTTGGCCTCCCATCTGCCCCTTGCCAAGTCACGCCAGCAGCGCTAGGCATGGGAGGAAGTTGCAGCTAGCTTCCTAACCCAGTCTTCAAGGTCAGGGATCGCGTGAGGCATCCAGGCAACCGCTGCATAACAGGTGAAAGTGTTACACAAAGCAAAAAATAGAGTACGAAGATTAATGGCTAATACTTACGATCAAGGTTCCATTTCTCGAGGAACGACAGTTTCTCCTCGGGGATGAGGTTGCAGGTCTTTACCCGCACGAACCGGCTCATCCAACCTCAGTCCTTACCCTCATCGATGCTTGCAAAAAAAACACTTCATTGATTGGTGTTGGAGCTTGATTAATCCTCAAAAAAGTCGAGGTCAATACAGCCGTATGAGGTGGCTGAGAGTGAATTCCAACCCCTTGGCCTTGCCAGAGAAAACGAAACACGATCACTATGTGCCAGAACGAGGGATGCACCTGACCAAGGGTAAAAGGACTCAATGTGAATGGGTAAGTATAGACACTTAGAAACCCCTCCCCGTGAGTGGTGATACTTTCTTCGGGAGCAGGTATTTGTACCACGACCTCGGCCCCCAGTTGCATTCTTTATTCACAACTTCGAGCTGTTTCACTGTTATCGAGCATATATACCTCGATACATATTCACATTGGCCGTGAACCAACAAAGGGTTTTCGACTTTGAAGGCGTTCTTTAAAATGCAGGGGCCAGGAACGTACTCGTGAGAGAGCGGTTATACCAGCATTTTATCACCGGCCAGCCGGAAAGAAGAGGAAGAATTCTTCTCCTTTTATGAGACAGTTTTGGAGGTTTTCGCCATTGGTTCTTGTAGAAGGAAGCAGAAAAAGGTGGAGTTTGGTATTTTTGGTGCTAAAAGATTGAATCAACGGACAGTGAAAGAGAAGAGATGGAGAGAGGAAGAGACTTAGAAAACTTGGTGAAAATGAAAGTAAAGTTTTGATTCAAACAGGGAACCTGTATTTATAGATTCACGTTGCCGGTTCGGTGGTGCTAGTGGCCGACCGTCACTGGAAAACATTAATGGTTTGGGGAACCGAACTGAAGGGACGTTTCGGTCACCTCGATCGCTTACGTCATGGGATGACGTCATTATGGGGTGTCCGGAATATCGAAGCTCAAGTTGTTTATTATCATTTTACTCTAAGAAACGAGCGGACTATCTGTATATGGTGGAAATCGGGGCTACCCGATTTCGTCATTCGATGAAGAAAAAGATACCACGTCGAAAGGCCAGGACTTCGAGTTCGGGATCAAGGTTTCTTTCCAAGATCGAGGTCGACATCGTTAATCGAGGTCAAAAAGAAGCATGCTTCGAACTCATGCCGGTATAAGGCAGTAACGGAAAGGGCGAGATATCCGTAACGGACCGGAGATCGTGGCATGAATCTCGGAACGGATCAGTCTATAGCGGTTAATTAGTTATTAATATGATTTCCTACTATAGTTAGAAGTGTAACCATCATTGTTCACTGTTAAGAAAATATACACTCATTACTTTCTTGCTATTTCATTTACTGTTCGTCAGAGTTGCTTTATAATTTGCTATTCTTATTATCATACCTCGAGACTACCATAGGCCGAGGTCGAGATTTGGTTTGCATGCTGGTTTGATCTATTTTATTCTCTAATTTATCTATTTAATTTCTTGTTTATCAATTGGTATTGGATTAAATCACATATCCTTAAAATCACAATATAAGTTTAATTGTTACTTGAATTTTAGGGTAAACATTGATATTAACTCATGTTATTTACACAATTCACTTACTTTATTATGTATTAGTGATTAAAATATTTTATGATTAGTTGTACTCCATCTATTCAAATTGGATGTCCATTATGATCCTGGAAAGTTAATAATCTACCCCACGTAGAGCTACATTCAAATACTCAAAGGTGGAGCAAGATGAGTAAGAGGTAAAATAAAAGCCGTTCTGCTTGCGATATCCCAATGCATAGTCTCAAAATGGTAAAAAGAAGGATGATTTAGTGAAGTTGAATATGAAAGTAAATCATTTAATATGATATGGTTAAAATTTTATATTCTTAATAACTTAATGGATATACATAGAATGTGTATAGACCATGATCTTAATTAAAAATGAGACATATTTGGTTGATAATGCATGTAATTACCAAGATAACGATAGAACTTGCATATTGTCCATATTTATTTTTTCGGGAAGAGCTAGCGGGTTGCTCTATTCTTATCACTCAATTAAGAAAACATTAGCATTGGTGAAAAGAAAAATACAAGCATCGAATTTTGTTGAGCATCGCTACAAATATTCAACCACTTGTATAGACTCAAACTACACGTATAAATTAAAAATATTTAAGGAATATGTATATGTATATATCGCCTCTTAGCAAAGAAGTGTCGTGTTTATCCAAGAACAAACTGGAGCCAATAGTAAGAATATAATACTAGTACTAGTAGAAAAAAAGAAAAGAAAAAATGTAAATACTGTCCACAACTTGCAGTAGCGGACAACCTCTGCCATTATACTTTACAACCCACACAAACACTCTTTTGCCTCAACAACAAAATTTATTTCTTAAATAGTGTTTTTCATACGGTTACAGCCGCTGCTTCTACTTGAAAACTAGTACTAGTATAATACTACTAGTACTAAGTAGGAATAATAATAATTCCGATTACTTGTCTTCGTCTTCTTCCTTCCAGCTCCATTTTCTTTCCTTGTTATTTACACAATTGAAAAAGTAGGATTTTCCTCTTTTTTATTAATTAATTTATTTCCCGCAATGATTTGAAATGTGTTTGTATTTTTTATTATTATGTTGTTGGGGTATCTTGAGTTGTATAGAGGTGCAGACGACTAATTTATGTGTCGGCGCCAGGTCGCTTTCTGTCGGCTTCGTTTGTATCCAACAATGGTGATGATTAAAATGGCCGGGCCGAGGAGAGAATAACCCATTTCTATTAAACTAGAGTATCATATTCCCCACATACCCATTACCCACTACCCTTACCCACCCGAAATAAAAAGCATAGAAACAAGAGAAGCAAGCTATACCTGCACCACTATGCTGATGATTCATTGTTAGTGTTACGGGATTTCAGTAGATTTTAGATTTCATACTTCCTCTCCCTCAAGTTTCAATATTTCTGACTTTATGTGGGAATGCGGCTGAATTCTGATCCAACTACTGCTACTGCTGCTGCCGCTTCTCCCAGATTACTCCCTCCCAAATGAAGTTTGCTGTCTTCTATCCAACCCATTTATCTTCCATCTCAGGTTATTCTTTTTCTCCACTTCTCTTATCTATGTTTTCTTAAATGTGCCCTAACTATTTACTATAAAGACCCTGAAAAATTGCCAATTTTTAGTTCCTTTCATGTAAAATAGGCTTCTATGCCACTTTGACCCTCATATTGGGCTATATGTCAAGTCTATAATGTTCATTTATGCTTCCTTGTCAGAAAAAAACATATTCATATACTTATTCTTAAGCATTGGGTTGCCGTGGGTTTTAAGCTCTTGTCTATCATATGCTTTTGGTGGGTCCTTCAGTCTTTGTTGCTTGAGGTTTCATCTGAAAATAGTGTACTATGTCCTCCCACCTGCCTCGGGGTTTGTCTTCTAAATAAGTGTTTGCTCCATCTTATGCAAGGCGATTACCTACATGCACAGGTGATTTGTTACCTACAAACAAGTACAATGTTAATAATATTAGGATGCCTCTGACTTTTTTGAACAAATTACTCTTTCCTTCTTGAAAATTCTCTTCATCATCTAACATCATGCACGTCCTTCATATTTCAGTGTCAATGTGTCAAAATATATATCCCAAAAGTACTCGCCTTTGCAGCTGAAGTGGTCGCCAAATGTCAAGGACTCTTGCAGCAATTGTAGGAGGTGCTGCAGGAGCCGTGGCATTGGTGGGGATTGTGATTGTCATTTTATGGTTCTGTATTTTTCATAAAAGGAGCATTTCAAGAACTTCTGAGACAGGCTCTTCTGATCCATCTATTCAAGGTGATTGTAACTCAGTTCTTATTCAAATCAAACATGCCATTATGTATTCTCCAGTTAAGATCACTTCCTCAAGTATCTGGATAACTTGCAGTTGGAAAAACTGCTGGGATTGAATTGACCTTACGAGATGCCAGGCGCTTCCAGATAGAAGAATTGTCTTTGGCAACAAAAGGTTTTAGTGATAAGAGTTTGATTGGCCAAGGCAAATTTGGGGAGGTGTACAAGGGATTGCTTCATGATGGCATGCTTGTAGCAATAAAAAGGCGATCGGTTGTCCCTAGCCAGGAATTTATTGATGAGGTAATAGTACTCATTACATCTTATGGAAATTAGTGCACATACTCTTTTGAGTTTGTTTCTTTAATCATACTGGTCCCTCTGAGCCTATCCAAAATTTCGTTCCTCGTCCTGATATTGAAGTGACTACGTCCTTTAATTAGAGGCTGATTGATCAAAATGGTTCGGAAGTCATCTGCTTCCATTGACAGATAAAAGGCACTAAATGGATCAGCTTATCTCTTGAAAAGCTTGGTGCTTTCAGGCCTTCATCACTTGTCTGATTGAATAAACACAGAGTGAAAGTTTATGGAAGTTTACTTACACTCACTCATACCAAAATTGTTTGGTACTTAATCAATTTCAATTAATAAGGTTAGTAAATATTTTATAACTAAATACAAAATAACTAAAAACACAAATTCTTTAGATATTCTACGAGGCACTGACCAACTGTCCACATCTACTTCTCTGTTTAAATTTTCACGGTTTTCTAAGTTGTGTCAAGGATCACAATCTGGTGAACAAACTTCTCCTCAGGTTCTAGTTGAATCTGTAAGAGATCAAGCCACAAATCTGGCTTCTTAACAGAAACATCATTGAGACTGCTGCTGATTACCTTGTGTCAACTTGATCAAGTAAAAGCATTTATTACTTTTCTTCCAATCATGTTATTATTTCACTGCTTCATCTCCTTCCTAAACTGGCACCAAACCATGATAAACCCATTTAAGTTGCCCAAGAGACCTTCCAATTTTAGATTACCCGTTGCGCCACTTGGCCCAAATCCTTTATCTCTGCAATCTCCTTAGAAGCTCAAATCCAAACACAAGATGAAGCAAGCAACTTTTCTGCTATACTTGAAGCATCTTTTAGCTGCTTCCTTGGGACCACTCTTCTGTTGTGTGATCAACAGTGGCGTGAACAAGGCATGACAAATCCAAGCTTTGACTGAGATGGGTGATAGTTGTTGGGTTGAGTTTTAGACGGAAGTTGACTTTCACAACATTTTAGTCCCTTGGGCTTTATTTTAACCATCTTGGTGAACCTGGATATTAGGAGGCCGATGCGAAACTTTTAGGCATGTTTGAAGGTCAATTTTGGTACTTTTCTCCTTTTTGTGATTGTGTCTGCAATGGGAGAAGGGACCTAGGTGTTATGTTGGGTTACAGCTTGATAAAATTGCATTACACAACTGGCAATTGAAAAAGAGAGGGAAAAAAGTGGATTATATAGTCATGCGCTGCTGTAAGGAATAAAGAGTGTAACCTGTGGTATTTGATTCCGTTTTTGCTAATCACAGGGAGTCCTAAGTAGCTTGCTGGACAAATTTAGTTATCATGAGACTGCTTTAATTAGAAAAACGTCTCTTCGTCCATTCCCCGTGAAACAGAGGAGAGTCAATTACTACAAAGAATTCTTTTTCAAGCTCAGGTACAGACGACCTAGTCGCGTGTGCTGAATTGAATATGCAACCAGAGGCACAATTTCATTCTTCGGCTGTCATGGGATTTGATATTATTTTTAAATTTTGAAATTCTTTTCTGCAGTTCACTTAAATTGAATTGATTTAAATTATAGCAATTTTCAACTGATACAAATGGAAAAAATTGGGTTATTTAAAGTTCTTGAGAACCCATGAGATTCTAATTATGGTAAACGATTGGGCTCTCTTTGTAGAAATCCTCGTTTAGTTACATTCTTTACTTTTGTATTCTGCTTTTATAGGGTCCAAATCAATTAAAATTTACGCTATCAAAACGACAAAGAGAAAAAAATGGAAAGAAATTGATAGAATATCCCAAGAAACAGATCCCCATTACTCGGATATCTTCCTCTTGGCCATGAATAAGGGTCTATCAGTGCAAGTAAGACCGTGATTGATATATGAGTAGATGGGTTAGGTGCACCTCTTGCCTAGTGCGACGTGGCGTGATATAGCTTTTGGAGAGAATATCAAGGTGAAATCCTTTTTCCATCCTGGCATTTGTTTTGACAAGTCTCCTTTCCATCCTACCATTGGGGACTGAAAAGGGCTAATACACCTGGCATGTGATTTATCTCCTAAGTCACATTTTTGCCATCATCTTTTGGGTTGTCTCTAATTTTTCTGTACCCGTATTCATATATCCAGTGTACTTGGAAGAAATACAGCAGGTAAGTCTGACGCTGCTTTGCAGATAAATTGAGATTACTATGTAAGGAGGAGCAAATTATAAATTCCACTTTTATCTGTTTTAGGTGTATTGGAATAAGTACGTGCCGCCTAGACTTAAGAGCAAATTCTACAGGGTGATGGTTAGACCGGCTATGTTGTATGGAGCTGAGTGTTGGCCCGTCAAGAAGTTCCATGCCCAGAAGATGAAAGTAGCTGGAATGAGGATGTTGAGATGGATATGTGGGTGTGGTAGGAAAGACAAGATTAGGAATGAAGTTAGGGACAAGGTGGGAGTGGCATCTGAGGAAGACAAGTTGCGGGAATCGAGGCTGCGATGGTTTGGGCATGTGAAGAGGAGAGACATAGATGCCCCGGTCAGGAGGTGTGAGAGGTTGACCATGGCGGGCTTGAGAAAGGGCAGGTTGCACCTAATCGAGGACATAACTAGCGATAGGAAGGTGTGGAGGCCGAGAATTAAGGTGGTGGGTTGACAGGTAGTTGTGAGTTTACCAATAGCACTAGTACTATTCTTGTATTCTTTTATTCTTAGTTCTTTATTACTTTGTTATGTCACTCGCTTCCATTACTTATTATAGTACTGCTGTGATTACTGTTCTTGTATTCTTTTATTCTTAGTTCTTTATTACTTTGTTATGTTACTCACTTCCATTACTTATTATATTACTGTTGTTATTGCTTGTTGCTTTATTCTTACCATTTCTTTAGCCGAGGGTCTATCGGAAACAACCTCTCTGCCTTTATAGAATAGGGATAAGGCTGTGTACACACTACCCTCCCCAGACCCCATGTATGGGATTGAACTGGGTTTGTTGTTGTTTGTTATGACTATGTGTTCATTGTTTATGGTTTGATGTATTCAGACTGTATTTCCTATCAGGTTCGCTATCTCTCATCTATTCAGCACCGGAACTTAGTCACCCTCCTAGGATACTGCCAGGAACGCGATCAGCAGATTCTTGTCTATGAGTACATACCTAATGGAAGTGTATCCGTTCACTTATATGGTAGTCATCTTTCTACTCAAACTTCTGTTTCCTCCTTTTCCAGTTTATATTTTTTGTTTACCAATATTTATTTCCAGATAAATTTTGACTATTCAGTGAGTTGCCTTATCTTCTGTACATTGTGGTGAAACCTAATATTTCCAAGTTCCGAGCTTCTTCCTTTCCCCTTTTCTCCCCCCACAAATTGATCCCTCTTTGTTATTCCAATCTTTCTTGCTTTTACCTGGTTTCAACTTCAAGCCAATTAGCAAATGTTGCTAACTCTTTGTAGGATGCAATATATTTTTCTGTTTGATTTTTCATTCCTTGGGTTTTTCTTTCTAGGCGATGGTCATGTTACACAAGAGAAACTTGAGTTCAAGCATAGGCTTTCTATAGCTCTAGGAGCAGCTAAAGGTGATCCTCTGCAAAATCAGTGAGCATTTTGGCTCCCCTGGTATTTGTTTTGTCTTTTGTTTAGATAATATGTGTGTCCCGCTCTGGTTTGGCAAAATTCTCTGAGAAGCTTTCACAACACTTGAGGGCCCTGTATCAGCTTCTTTGAGTTGAAAAACCTTATTGTTTGGTTCTTAAGCTCCATTGCCGCTCAATGTAAATATGCAGGTCTTGCTCATCTTCATTCCCTAAGTCCCCGCTTGATTCATAAAGACTTCAAGACAGCAAATGTTCTCGTGGATGAAAATTTCATAGCTAAAGTTGCAGATGCAGGATTACGCAATTTTCTTGGGAGATTTGAGGTTGCAGGCCCATCTTCTCAAGTGGCTGCTGATGAAATTTTTCTTGCTCCAGAGTAGTCCACTTGCTTCTTTCGTGTTTACTTTTTGGAACATCTTTTCCACCCATTCTTTTGTGGAGACCCATGTTCAGAGGCTTAAAACAAGATGTTCTATTTTATATAAGGCTCTGTTCTCCAGTCCCCAGTGGCTAAGGGATCTGATTGATGTGAAGATTCAATGACTTTTTTCTCATTGTTCTGTAGGGTCAGAGAGTTCCGACGATTTTCTGAGAAAAGTGATGCCTACAGTTTTGGTGTATTTCTCCTGGAGCTAGTTAGTGGCCGTGAAGCAATGGATTTGCTGTCTTCAGATTTGAATATAAACATAGTTGAATGGGTACACCCTTCTCAGAACAAGCTTATAATTTGAAACATATTGACAAGGATATTGGGGCTCCTGGAGACAATCAGGAAATTAACTTAGGACCAATGTCCTTTATGTGCATTGAAATAAACTTATTAATCCGCTGAGTGAATTTAGCTTAGTTATGCAGTTGGTAATAAGAGAATTTTCTCATTTCAGGTGGAGAATTATCAGGAATCTGGCAACATATCTGCCATCATTGATCAAAGATTGGGTAATAGCTTTACCACAGAAGGCATGGGAGAGTTCATGCAGTTGACTGTCCGTTGTATGGACCCTTCGAGTGAAAGGCGGCCTACCATGAGTTATGTGGTGACGGAACTGGATCGGATACTGGAGAAAGAGATGAGCTTGACAACAATCATGGGAGAAGGAACTCCAGTTGTGACTCTTGGAAGCCAGCTTTTTAGGGCTTCAAAATAAGATGCAAGTGTGGGAATTAAGCTTCTTTGTTGTATTAATTCTTTTGTTTGTGTGATTTGTCATATTATTTACAGAAACACCAGATTGGAAAGAGAGATGCATCCAGCTGTTTGTTAACTGTAAAAAAGAAAAAATAACAGCTGTGTTTTTTTCTTCTTTTATTCTTTCCTCTCATAAATGTACTCTAAACCTTGTGCTAAACAATTATTTGTTGATAATAGATGAAGATTGTCTGGAGTGATTTTTTTTAATATTTTTTCTTGTTCGTTTAATACTCCATATTCCCTCTCAGACCCCCC